TGCTAATTGTAATTAGACTTTTGAATATATTGTACAAGATCTGATAAAAATGTGAATTTTGAAATCTAAAATATTACAGTACAAGACACATTGACATTAATCTTCTTCAAGTTGCTCCCCTTTGCTTCAAACACACTCTTCCATCCATCTTGCCACTTTCTGAAGCAGTCCTGGAACTACTTTTCCTGAATGTGTTTAGTTGTACTATTGTGCCTGCCTCAATGTCCTGAATGGATTCAAAGCATTTACCTTTCATGGTCACTGGGGAAGAAGCAGGAGTTGCATGGTACCAATCCAGTGAATAAGTCAGATGAGGATACACTATAAAGTTTTTATTTGACAGAAATTGCCTTAAATATTTTGAATTGATTCAGAATATCAAGGCAGTCACAAAAAGACCCTCATGAAAGATGAATTCTAGAACTGCTTCAGAAATTGGTAAGAGTGATGAGATAGGTGTGTCTGAAGCATGCACAAGTATTTTGAGAAGAGCTGAGGGCAATGTATCTTTTATTTTAATATATATTCTTAATTTTAAACATTCACCATATAATTTGATCATATCTTTTAATTCTGACTTCTTCTGACTTTAATTCTGAAATGCCCACTGTACTGTCAGTACCTGTATAATTACAAAGTTCTAAACTGAATTATTCATTAAGCTCAAATATAACTTAATAATAAGGATAACAATATAAAGTAAAACATGTTAATAAAAGTATCATAGTTTTATTTGAGCTTAATGAATTGGAAAAGATTTTATTAAGAATTTAGAACTGCTGTCTACTCTAGCTGAATATATAAATTCTTTTTTTGAAAATTAAACAGTAATGCCTTTTTCACGAAATCTGTATACTAAATGAGTAATGCATATATAACATGCTCATATGGATCTGATATTTAATATGTGCTTAATAATATACATTCAATTTATGCATAAATATATGGCTTAGTTTCAGAGTAATTATAGTTTTAAGTTTGTATGTACTAATGTTAAAGATCTTTGATAATTTGCAAGACAAAACAACCGTTAATGTAGTTGAGGATATCATTTTTGAGCCAGCAGAAAGGTAGGGATTGAAAATAAAGGTCATAGTAAACACTGTGTAATACTTTAAGCTTTTCTTTTTCGCTGCTGAGGATTGAACCTAGGCCCTCATACATGCTAGAAAGTACTCTACCACTGAGCTGCATCTCCTGCTCGCTACAGCACTTTAGATGGCACATACCCATAAAAATGGTGGGAAGCAGGAATACAAGAATCCTAGCTGATTCTTCACAAATTAAAAGGAAGAGTTAATCAAAACAAACAAATACAGGAAAACAACCACAAAAACATGGATTTGTTTTTAATACATTAGAGGAAATTCCATGATCTCAGGTGGCCAAGAACTGAGGAACTGTGTCCATCATCTGGCAAAAAAAGTTTAAATATGACTTACTTGAGGTCAGGAAACATTCCATTTCTCTCCTTTGATTTCATCTATCTGCCTGTAGTTGAGAAGTAATGACTTCTGAACTCATACTTTCTATGCTCAAACAAAATCTTGGAGTGACCTAGAGATTTAGTAAGACACTTTCCCAAGAATAAAAGTTAAGAATTTTGGAGACAGAATCTGGGGTTAGTTAAATCTTGTTAAAAGACTGGAAATTTAGAACAAAATTTCTGTAAGATTTTTTCTTTAAAATTGAAATATTTATAATATTAACAAGTCTTCTGTGCTCATGTCTTGGGGCAAGACAGTAGCAGAAATTGTGCCTTACCTTCTATTTGTTCTTAAGGCAGGAAGGAAAAAATAATGAGAAGGGAACTTCAAATGATTATAAAATGAGCTGAGACAGATAATAGGGGGAGAAAAGGGGATTCTGGAGGAAGATTTCACCTGAGCAAGGACCACATGAATGTAAGATCATTTGCAGGACCACTTCTCAAACCAGGATTATCTAAATTGTCTGGAAAAGTGAGACAATCTTTGGTACAGACTACTGAGATTGAATTTGCTGAATGTTTTCCTGTGTAAATGATTTTTTTCCTGTTTACTCACTAACTCAGAAAATGTGTCAGCAACAGTATGTAGTTTGCAAAGAAATCACATGGTCCTGACCCAATGATTTAGTCATCGTTTTTTGTGTGGTTTTCCACTTGGGTATCACCAGACACTTTAGAACACCAAAGATAGAACCTTTGCTTGCTTGTCTCTGGGCCATTTCTTAACAAGTTTCAGTGCTGTGGACTAGGGAGCAATGCACATATCAGAAGTACTCAGATCTTCCTTAAAATCTCACTGTAAATTTTAAAATTTTGCATTTGAAAATTTCCAATTGAAGTTATTGTCATCAAAGGTGGGAATTCTTTTGAGAAGTAAATGTCTTTTATTTATACTATAAAAGAATCATTAAGATGAATTGTAGTTTAAAATGTTCTCAATCATATTATCATAGGATAAATTGATGTATATATATGAAGGGAAAAATCTGAAAGCTAAAAATACATAAATCTATTAAATTAACATAAGCTTGAATATGTCATTCTCTTATTTTTCTTTCTAAAACAACTATAATAACAATAAAGAGCAATGCAGAGCACATTTTAACTGTGTGCTTCTTGTTATCCTATGCCTAGTACGTTCCCCTCACTACTTCTTTTGAGATGGATTCTGTTCTTACTTTTCTTATTCCATTTTACATGTGGAGACTGATATTTAGTGAGTAGACTAAGATATCAATAATACATTAAGAGGACCTTCACTTTCCCATACCCTCTGCCTCTGGGACTGTGATTTGCTTATCCTCTCTCTCCATCATATATACACTCTCCTTCCCATGACACCTTCTTTTCACCACACAAATACATAGACATACTCTAGCTAAATGGAAAACAGCTAGAGTTCCTCCCAGTTGGGCCTTTCCTCCATCTCATGGCTTGGTTTGTTCTCGAATCCCAGTGACAGCACTGACCAGAATCCCAGAGCATCCCACCAAGCAGCCTTTCCAAGTACAATACCTTATGGCTGTTCACTGGGAAGCACTCCAGCTTACCTTGCGCATATCAGAACTTGGCTTCATTTCTCACTAGCTCTATGGCTTTACAAAAGTTACCAACCTTCAGTTTACCAAACTTCAGTTTATTCATATATAAAATAGGAATGTCAGAAGTAGTAATCTAAAAAGACTGAATAAAATCTACACAAATTTAAACACATGTATATACACTATACCTGAGGATTCAATAGCCATTTGCTTTTAGTAATATCACTATGTTGTATGACATTTTAAAAAGCTTTATTTTGATATGTTTCTCCAGAATATAATAATTCTCTATATATTTTTGGAATATGTATGTGGCATGTGTGAAATATTGATAGTCTAGTCTTACCATCATTTACACTAAAAGCTTTTAAAAGGTGATTACCTAATTTTTAAAATCCTTTAGTGAATTATAGATGATATAACCAATGGAACAAGGGCTTTCTTTCATGTAATGTAAAATCAAACACTAATAGATAAGATTTCAATAGTCATAAATTTTAAAATACTGTATATTAATGTGAAAGAACTTCTTAATATAAACTATCTAATATGTATATAATAATTAGCATGCAGCCTAAATTTAATTGATAAGTATCTAGAAGGTATCATGAAGTCTCATGTTCCTTACAGTGTCTCCTTCACGTAGTTACTCACATTTATTCATCTGACATAAAATTTTAACTTTCTGTATTGAAAATAAAAATGACAGATCACCTAAGCCATTGTTTTTTGTACTTTTATAGTCTCCACATTTTGTTTCTTATATATCTAAGCATAAAAAGTGATTGGTACTATGCCATCAGTAATTACAATCTATGATCATAGAAAAAAGTTTAAATGGTAAAAAATATCAACAAATCACAAGATTATTAGAAAAACTAATAAAGAAAGGTTGTAGATCTCAATACACAACTTTCTAATAATAAAGTTGTTCTATAAATGTTTTACAGATTTAGAGAATACTGAGTGACAGATATAAGTAGGATTTAAACTTCTTAGAAGGAGAAATTACTTTCGGGGAGAAAAATAAATATCTTAAAAAGAAAAAGGAAATATCTGGGTCTTCAGTGTACTTTATATCAATGAAGTTGAATGGACCTCCATTGTTTTTATTTAGAAGAGTTAAAGTCTGAAAAAAAATGGTTTTGAAAACACAACAAAGGAGATGATTTTCCTTTCAGTTATGAGGACAACCCACAGAATTCTAACCAAAGATGGCATCTGCCCTTCACCACAAAATGAGTCTGTTAGCTTTGTGTAATACACATAGTGCATTCCAACTTTTGTTAAATGTAGGGTTCTAACTGAATGTTGATAACAGAGCTGAAGCAAAAATAAAAAAATTATTTTACATTATATTAAATAGATGCAACTAAAATGATTTTATGTTAGCTCATTAGTATAAAGTTAGTGGAAAATCATAGTTTTGAGACATAATTTTAAATTTTTTTATAAGAAAGTATTGATTGCTATGGACAAGTGGATTTATATATATCAGAGACTCTATTGGAATTTTTGATAGCAACAGTGATAGTCTCAAATAGAAATAGCAGTTTTAATACTGCCTGGTTAGTTGGCCAACTATTCCATGCTGTGGGTTGCTCCAAATCTGGTTTGTACTATTTTAATGTAATTTCAGATAAATTACCAGTAGTGTCTCTTTTGTGGTATTTAAATGATATTGTTGTGCTCTACATTGTCAAATCAGCACCTTTAAAATAAAATAAGACAGTGGCATATGCCCATTGTGTAGAATCAGTAGGAAAGAATTCAAATTCTAGGTCATCAATGAAAATAATTTTCTTGGTACAAAATCAAAAAATCACTCAGTTGCTTCTTTTATGTGTTAAGAAATTATGTTTTGATATTTTCTAAATTCTCTCCTGTAATTCTGTCTATGGCTGATTCCTGTTAATTTTTTTTTATTTTGTAAATTATAAGCATTAAACTTGATTTTCTTTTCTCTCTAGGATTCCCTGCCTTGACTGGAACAGGAACAGTCAATGTCATAGTAGATGATGTCAATGACAACGTCCCCACCTTTGCCAGTAAAATGTATTTCACAACAATTCCTGAAGATGCACCAACTGGAACAGATGTCTTATTGGTAAATGCCTCAGATGCTGATGCTTCAACAAATGCAGTTATAAGGTCAGTACTTTTAACTATGCAAATGATGCCTTCAACGTTAATCTTTGAAATAAATGAATGTGATGTATAGTTGCACTGGAAATTTCATATTAACACATAGTACTATTCCTGTTAGCTATTCCTAACTTGATTAAAACTCTAACAATTTTGCTTTAAATTTTTGTTTATTAATTTTATTTATATTTTTGTAACTTATTATTGTGTAGTTCAGGTAAACAGTGGGTGGTCCTGCTTAACGTAGTTGGCTGGTGTTGCTCAGTGCTATTTACCAGGTGTCTGGAATGGGTAGAGATCCAATAGGGGGTCCCATGTCTGGTGCTTCAGCAGAGATGTGGCCTGGTCTCCTCTTTCCTTGTGTAGTCTCAGGACTTCATGATATGGTTCTTTAACAGAGTAGTTGAGTTTTTACATGGTGTCCATGGGCTCCAAGAACCTGTGCTGAAAGCTGCCTGTTCTCTTAAATATCAGGCACAGAGGTAGCAAAACATCATCTCTACAATGCTCTGTTGATCAAAGCAGCCATGGCCAGCCCAGATTCACTGGGAGGAGAAATGCATGCCAACTCTGATGAAAGGAATGTCAAAGAATTTTGGCCATTTTTAACCCTCCACTAACCTCAGTAAGAATATTCAGTGTAATTTATTTGTGCAAAAGTTTATTTTTCTCTTCTTAAATCCTTTTAATATGAAAGGAAATATGGAAGTTTGTTCCAATAATGTGAAAAGAGTTGAGTTTATTTAGCTTATCCTCTTCTTCTATGCTCATTCTAAACTTGAAAAAAAAGATTTCCAAATGTTCTAGAGAAAGCCCCAAGACAAGTATTTTTGCACAGCGCACAACCCCTCTGTAGGTTGGTGTTATTTAAGTTAGAGTTGGTGAGCCAGCAAGAAAAGTAAAGGGTCAGGAGACAAAATCTTTGCAGGTCAAAGGAATTATTAGTAAAATCTAGCATATATATTCATAAAATGATGATTTGACTAATGACTTATTTTGTTGTTAGTAATTTCCTTTTAACAAAAGCATTTTGGGAAATTGGCTTTAATTCATCTCTTCCTATTGGCAGAGATGATTGGGTAAAGGTAGGACAAGCCAAAGGCATTTTTAAAAATTCAGTAAATGGGAGGTGAGCCTCTTGGGCGGCTGTATCACTGACCCAGAGCACTGAGGAGGTGAGCCGCTAGGGCACCAGTAACCCCCCCCACCCCCGCCAGTTGTGCCAAGCCATTATCTGGATCCACACCACAGAGTTGCAGGGGTCATAAAGGACTTTATTTTGAGTTTGAGAAGATAGAGTAGAAGTGAACAATGGAAAGAGGGCCTCTCTGAGGCCCCTTGATGAAAATTAAAGCCCACTGGAAAAGTGAAGAAAATCTCTGCAATAAAGGCACACCAGACCACCTTAGTTGGGGGAGCAGTGGGGTGGACCAGAGCAGCACAGCTGCAAGCAGATCCCAGTCAGGGCTCCGCCAGAGGTTGGGGCACAATGGCCCAAGCCAAGGGCCCACCTGAAAAAGAGCTGCACAGGCACACAAGCAAAGCCAGAGGTTCGTCCTGATACCATTTGGTAAGTGTGCGAGACCCTAGCCAGAACCTCACACAACAGGAACTGGGGTGCACAGCTCCTAACCAAGGTCTTCCCAGGCAACACCTACATAGGGGCCCTAGCCAGAGGCACACCTAGTTATCATTCCAAGTGTGCACAGGCCCCAGCCAGAAGCCCACCGAGATAAGAGGTCAGCTCAGGGATCCAGAAAGCCACCTTTCTGAACCCAGGAATTAGCATACTGGTGAGCACCAGAGAAAAGGCTGGCCTGTGGCTTGCTGAGAATTGAAGACCACTGAGTGAGCAAAAAGTTGCCTCGACGAAGGCACAGCAGACTGCACCTGTTGAAATGAGAAGACACAAAAACAAGTCTCAAAACCAGACTTCCAGATCACCTAAGGCAACCACAAAGGGAAATGAGATAGAACACTCTGATACTCAACCACCTGGACTCCCTGAACTGGCAACAAAAGAGGATATGGAAAAAATGAAATCAGAAATAATTTCTCACATAACAGCAGAGATTGTGCCCATAGTGCAAGACATGATTAATAAATCTAGAGCAGACACAGATAAAAAAATCGAGGAGCTGAGGAACATGATGGCATCCTAACATAGGAAACAAATGGAATCCATAAAACAAATGCAAACAGATTTCCAGGAGATTTAAAACTCTATTGAAAGTTTATGCAGCAGAATGAGCCAATGTGAGGACAGAATTTCAGATATAGAAGATAAGATTTCAATTAGTGACCAGGAAAAGAAAAGTTTCTTTAAAATAGTAAAGGACCATGAGAAATCAATCCAGCATCTACTAGACAATGCAAAGAAGAATAGCATAAGACTGATCAAAGTCAATGAAGAAACAGGAGAGAGTGCAGACAACGTAAAAAAAAACTGTTCACAGAAGTTATGGCAAAAAACTACTCAAGCAGGGGAAAAGAACTTCACATACAGATAAGTGAGGCATATAGGACTCCAACTAGCCATGAACAAGAAACAATCTACACATAGGCATATAACAGTTAAGATTCCAGAAACCCAACAGAAGAACAAAATTCTATAAGCAGTGAGAGAAAAGAAACAAATCACATACAAAGGAAAAGCCATCAGAATCACAACACAAACCCTCAAGGCAAGAAGAGCTTGGAGTGAAGTTTTGCAAGCCCTGAAGGAAAACAGCCTCCAACCCAGATTGATGTACCCTGAAAAACTATTTTTCAAAATCAATGGAGAAATAAGATACTTTCATGACAAAGAGCACCTTAGGAACTTCATGAATACCAAACCAGGACTCAAAAAAATTTTAGACAATATCCTAGAAAAAGACAATGAGGATCACAACCCCAGGAAGCCCAGCAGAATGACTCCTTTGGGTACTACAAGAAATTAAATGCAAAGGGGGAGAATCCAAAAAAAGAAAAAGTCATGACAATGATAAATCAATATGTATCAGTTATAACTATCAATGTTAATGGTCTCAATTAACCAATCAAAAGAAATAGACTGGCAGAATGGGTCAAGATGCAAGATCCAACAATATGCTGCATACAAGAAACACACATAATTCAAAAAGAAACTCATAGACTGAAAGTTAAAGGGTGGAAAACAATACTCCATGCAACAGGAACCCCCAAAAAGCAGGAGTAGCTAACCTCTTTGCAGCTCAAGTGGATTTCAAACCAAAATCTGAAACACTTCTTGTCTCAAGAATTTCAGGTAAGGGACAGTCAACCTGTATGTACAAATCTAATGTGAACATGTGTTTTCATTTCTCTTAAGTAAAAACAAGAACAGAACTGTTGGTTCTTAACAGTAATACAAGAAATTTCTATATTGTTTTCCAAAATGGTTTTATCATTTTACATTCACATTAGCAGTATTAGAAAGTTCTAACTGGTTCACACCTAAGCTGACATTTGTTCTTTTAAAACTTTTAAGTTAATCTGCCTAATTAGTGTATAATATGATCTTGTTATTGTACTGATTAGTATTTTTCTGATTCTAGTGTTGCATACCTTTCTTTGTGCTGTACTGGCTATTTATCATCTTCTTGTGTCTACTTTTTAATTGGGTTGTCTATTAATGAGCTCTAAGAGTTCTTTATATATTCTGGTCATAGGTTATATGTATTATAAATATGTTCTGTTTAAGGACTACTTTTCATTTTCTTAATGATATCTTTTAAATTTCTAAATTTTGATGGAATCTCATTTATCAATTTTTTCTTTTATACATCATGTTTTTTGTATCCTGGGAAATTCTTGTTTACCCTAAATTCATAAACATTTTCCCCTATAATTTCTTCTTAAAGTTTTACGGTTTTAGTCTTTCATATTTAGGCTCATAGATCCTTTCAAATTATTTTTATATATGGAAATAAAGGGTTGAGGATAATTTTTTACATAAGGGTACCAGGTCTCTAGTACCATTTGTTGAAAACATTGTCTTTTCCTCTGCTCTTGAGTTTATGTTCTATAAAATGTTAATGATAAATAATCTTTCAAAAATCAGTGGACCATATATGTGCAGTTGTATTTCTAGATCCTTTGCTTTATTCTATTGATCTATATGTCTTTCCTTTCGCCAATATTGCCTTGATTACTGCAGCTTTAGAAGAAGTCTTAAAATTAGGTAATAAATGACTTCCAACACTGTTATTTTTTCTTCTTCTTACTTTTCCAGGTCCTTCGTACTCCTACATAAATTTTAAATTTCAATAGCCAATTCTTCATTTATAGAAAATGTACATAGACCTGAATTTTTATTTATAGGTTGTGTTTTCTAATCCTGCTAAATTTTAATACAAGTTCTAGGGGCTTCTAGAGATTACTTAGTATTTTCTTTGTAGATGATCATTTCATCCACATATAAAGATTTTACTTCTACCTCGCCAGTCTTATGCTATTTCAAAGTTTAATGGTCAGATGAAGAGCAGGCATATCTACCCTTGATCCCCACCTTAAGGAGAAAGCATTTTATCTTTTCCATTCATATAAGGTGCTTTGCTGGCAGTATGGAGTACATGTCTTTTATCTGTTGAGAAGGTTCTGTTCTACTTCTAGTCTCCTGATAGCTTTTACCATGAACAGCTGTAGAATTTAGTCCAATACTTTTCCTCCAACTACTGACAGGATCATATGGCTTTTTCCTTTCCTCTGTTAAAATGATGACTTATGGGGGTGGATCTTCCAGTGCTGAACCAACAATGCCATCCCTATAATAAAACCACTTACTACATACTGCCAAATCTAATTTCTAATAGTTTTTGTTAAATAAATTTTTATTTATGTTCTTACATTTTTCTTCTATTATCTTTATCCAGTTTTAGTATTAGCACAATGTTGATTTCCTAAAATGAGGGGAGAAGTGTTCCTTCTTTTTTCTGCTTTAAATGTTTGATATAATTCATCAGTTAAAATGTATATGAGCCTGTTGTTGTCATATAGGTAGGTTT